CAGGAAACAACAGGTGCTGGAAAGGATGATGAGAAATAGGAACACTTTTACACTGTTGGTGGGATTGTAAACTAGTTCAACCATTATGGAAAACATTATGGCGATTCCTCAAGGATCTAGAACTAGAAGTACCATATGACCCAGCCATCCCGTTACTGGGTATATACCCAAAGGATTATAAATCATGCTGCTATAAAGACACAGGCACACATATGTTTATTGTGGCACTATTCACAATAGCAAAGACTTGGAATCAACCCAAATGTCCATCAGTGACAGACTGGATTAAGAAAATGTGGCACATATACACCATGGAATACTATGCAGCCATAAAAAAGGATGAGTTTGTGTCCTTTGTAGGGACATGGATGCAGCTGGAAACTATCATTCTCAGCAAACTATTGCAAGAACAGAAAACCAAACACCGCATGTTCTCACTCAGAGGTGGGAACTGAACAATGAGATCACTTGGACTCGGGAAGGGGAACATCACACACCGGGGCCTATCATGGGGAGGGGGAGGGGGGAGGGATTGCATTGGGAGTTATACCTGATGTAAATGACGAGTTGATGGGTGCAGCACACTAAGATGGCACAAGTATACATATGTAACAAACCTGCACGTTATGCACATGTACCCTAGAACTTAAAGTATAATAATAAAAAAAAAAAAAAAAAAAAGACACCTGAAAAGCTAGTTAAGCTCATGATGGGAAGTGGGGGTCAAACAGCCCTCATTATACCCTCGTCCTTTGGAATTCAGGCACAACTGATCAGCATTAATATTAAAACCGAGATCTTAAGACTGAAAAAGTAGACTGTTTGTAGCAGAACGATACCAAATTCCAACCTTACTCTAGTATAGCATCACACAACAGATATAGCAGGCCCTGGAAGTATCAAAGTATTTTACCCAAAATATTTGGAGATGGCCCTGCAAAGTTGATTCTTATGGATAAATTTGCGTTCTGTAGAGAATCCCCTTCCCTTTCCAGGTGTTTTTCTGATCCTAAAGAGATTAGCTCAGAGTCTAGCACCTTTTAAATGTTTAAATAGAAAACATTAGCCATCTATTGCCTCTAAGGGTGGCCACATATGAGATTTCATCTACATAACAAGAACCTTGGTCTCCACAACCCTTATCTTAAAGCAGACACTCCTTTCTGTTGATTCCAGGTCTTTAGATAATAACTCAACTCTTTCAAGCAATTACCAATAAGAAAATCTTTGAATCTACCTATGACCTATAAGTCCTTCCCCACCACAACTTCAAATTTTCCCACGTTTCTGGACCAAGCCAATATATACCTGTCATGTATTGATTGATGTCTTTTGTCTCCCTAAAATGTATAAAATCAAGTTGTAACCCAGCGACTTTGGGTATATGTTCTCAGACCTTCTGGGGGTATGTCACAGGTGATGGTCCTGACATGTGGCTCAGAATAAATATCTTCAAATATTTTACTGAGTTTGGCTTTCCATCAACACAGGTAAAGGCAGGAATTTCATTTTTGTTTTTTATTTCTTTATCTGTAGCTTCATAGTGATTCTGGTGCTATCTACTGTAATATTTTGATATGCTCTAAACTTTCCTTTCATACCTTAATATTGTCTTTTTATTCCCCTGCTATTATGGTACACTTTACACCATCATTATGGTACATCCGATAATTCCAAAAAGGGTTTTCACCATCCTCTGCCACTCAACATTAACTTGTAACATACAACCTTGGACCCTCCCAACCAGGGGTCATATGAAGATTTCTTCTCTCTCAAGTTTCTCTTTTTATTTTTTTCTTTTTATTTTTTTTAGACAGGGTTTCATTCTGCTGCCCAGGCTAGAGTGCAGTGGTGCCATCATGGATCACTGTAGCCTTGACTTCTCAGGCTCAAGTGATCCCACCTTAGCCTCTCGAGTAGCTGGGGCTACAGATGCACACCACCACACCTGACAACTTTTTTCTATTTTTTGTAGAGAAGAGTTCTCACTAGGCTGGTAGTGAACTCCTGAGCTCTAATAATCTTCCTGCCTCAGCCTCTCAAAGTGCTGGGATTATAGACATGTGCCACTGTGCCCATCCTTCCCTCGTTATTTATCCTCTTACCCACAACCTTAATAGACAAGTTAAAATCATTACCCTGTGCTAAACACACTTTATTTTCCTATTTTTTTCATCATTGCTACCTTTAAACTCCTCCAGGCTGGGATAATCGGAACAGATCTGATAGGGTAGCTTAGGTGAGGTGGATACAGGAGCTAGAGTAGGTTTCCTTTCTCTAAGCTATTGTTAATGTGCTGTCAAACCCTTTGTAGGGATCCTGTCAATTTCTTCCTTCTCTATTCCCTCCCCTCACTTGCCATTCAAAAAATTTTTAAAGATCATTCTACCTGATTCAATGTTTATTTCTCTTATTCTGGTCAGTATCTTCACCCCAGCCCATTGGCTTTCTTCTGAACAGCTTAAACTTTCTTTTTATTTATAAAGCCCATTATCAGTAGCTGTGAGAACAAATCTGCCTTGGCATTCTGCATATTCGAATCCTTGTTTTCTCACTAAAAGTATCCTACTGGGAACATATGCATGAGGGATTCCCCCTAATCACAATGTCTATAATAGTGCGGGGCAGAGGCATAGGGAAGCTCAACACTAATCATCATAAAACCAAGCAGGGTTGCCACTGCCCTTTATATTTTTAATGCTTCCACAGAAGCAACAGTTTCACTGTTAACAAAATGGATATAAAGTTTTCCTTTTCCGTATAAATTCAAGGTATTTCAGACACCACACACTCCCAAAGGGGCGCTGATATTTAATTTGGGTCTTCTGTGGATCAAATACTGAACACTGTGACAAGTTGATGATTAGCAGTCATACCAGAGAACTCTTTCCATTAAGTAGTTTCTAAAATCAACAGTTCCATGGCTGTTTAGCCTGAGAATCCAAGAAAGCAGAGATTCCTCAGTACTACTAAAAAATATAACCAAATTTCATTCCACTATTGCCTTTGGTTTGTATGTAGGTGTATCTGATAAGGCCAGGTAGATGCACACAGGTTGAGAGACCTAGGGACCTAACCTGTGAGAAGGTCCCACTTTCTCCATGAAACCAGAATCTTAATCTTAGGATATGATTAGCCTTTAGCTAGCCACAAGAAAGAAGAAAACCAAAGAGAATAAGAAATAGAGATGGACAATCTTTCCTGAGAAACAGGATTGGTTTAATGTATCTGCCAGTTACATGCAAGGGAATTAGTGGAAAAGGGAAGAGGCAAAAGGTATGCATAAGAAATTTTAATGTACAGTGACCCTGCTTACAATAAATGCAGCTTAATCAATTTCTCAGGTTCTGACAAAACATATTAGCATTCTCTTCTCTTGGGGAAAGACATAAATGGAAGTGGGCCAACAGGCAACAGGGAAACAAGGAGGAGAGAGTTCCTCTACAGCACTGCCTACACTCAATATAGCACTTTGAAAAGGCAAAAGGATTACATATAGAATTATCTCACCTTCTACTATGTAAAAGTTTGTGTAATAATGGAGAACCTCCTGAAATAGTAGTTTACATCTCAATTTGCCAAATCAGCTGTGCACTTTGCCTTTCTAAATCTTTTAATCTACAATTCAAAAAAAATTACATTAGATGATAGTTATAAGTTCTCTTTAAGATTTAAGATTCCATGATTTTACTAATATAGTGTCTATCCAGACTTCATTACAAGTTCATTGTTTGTACAGGACAGGGATGATGGCTTATGCACCCTGCACATGGCTAGTGTTCTACAATTCGTCCATTGTTTAAATGCCAGTTGAGATGTGGGAAAGTGTGTATCACTTGCTTCAATTCAAGGAGCTGGAAGGAATATACATATGTACACTTGCATATAATATTTTTGGAATTAGAAATAAGAAAGTAATACTGGTTGTTTCTGAGCAAGGTGACTGAGGTATCAGGAGTTTTGGGTGGATGGGAAAATTTGTTTTCAATATCAGTTGTCCTTTGTATTTATATTCGACTCTCCCCCTTGCTCTTTCTCCTCCAGCCACCCCGACCTTCTTGCTGTTCCTCCATTTCAAAAACGCTCCCAACTCAAGGTCTTTGCACTTGTCATTCTGGTGCCTGGTGCACTCTCCCTCCAGATACTCCCACAGTGAACTCCCTTACTTCATTCAATGAGACCGAAATGCTACGTTAATACTGAGACTTCCCTGACCACACTGTATGTAATGACTTCCCCCACAGACTCCCCATGACCCCTTAGCTAACAACCCTTAACATTTAGTAGCATCTGACATACCGAATATTTGCCTGCTTGTTTAGTGTTTGACTGCCTTTTGGAACACTGCCTGTGCTAACAATCAACAAATACTTGTTGAATTAAGAAACTTACTGTTTAAGATTTTTAAAAAGTAATCACGAAATTACTTTTTCAACAAAAACAACCAGTTAGGGAATAAACATTTGATAAATTAACTTTTAGATCTACAGTATTATAGGATAAAGTCCAAACTTCTTTTCTCCACACACGGACTTTCCTCAACACACGGACTTTCCTCATCTGCCACGTATTGACCACAGTCAAGTAACCCGTTCCCTTTCCTCCTGCATAAAGTGGGGCTATTCATAATTACTTCACAAAATTAAGATTCAATGCAGATGAAAGCGCTTTTGTAACCAACGCACTGTAAGTTACCATAAGCACAGGATTTCTTCCGCGCTTGGAGCCTAGGAATAGTACATGGTGTCAAACTGCGCTAATGACCTGAGGTTTAAGGACAGGAAAATCTCCAGTGCAGCGCTAGCAGACACTACTCTGGCGCGGGGCGGGGCTCCTTACCACCGTTGCCAGGGAAACTGTCCGGGCGTCCCTAGTCTCTGAGCCCGTGCGCCGGGGCCACTCAGCTCAACCTCTCTCCTGCGCTAGCAATAGGTGGAGCGCCGGCCAATCGGAAGAGGCCGGAGGGGCGGGGCGGGCAGTGGCCCTGGGAAGGCGGGTCCGCGGCCTCGCTCCCTGACTTCCGGGTCGCGGTGCTAGCAGGGAGAGTTCCGTCGTTTCCGTTGCCGGCTGTTTGCAGTGGGGAAACCGAGGCAGCTCCTGCTCCCCCTAGTTCTTCCGCTCCTGTGAGGTGGCTGCTGTTTCTTTTCCTCTTGCCCCGCGCTGCATTGGTGCGGCTGCGCTGAGAGTGCGCGGGCTCGCGAGCCCCGCGGGGTTCTGCGGGAACCCGGGGGCGCCTGGGCCGGCGGGTCTTTGTGCGAGCCCTGCCCTCCCATTCGCGGGCGGCGCGCGAGGGGGGTCGGCGCAGCGACGCCCCGAGCCTTGGGGTGCTCAGGCGCCGATAGTAGTGCATCCCTTCTGCTCGGCAGTTCTGCGCTTTTGTCCTAATGAGCGCGGACTAGATGGCTTGATTTTCAAGATAATGATCAACCCAGCTGTGATGTGTGCTGTTTTCTGCACTGACCTGCGGCGACTTCGAATTTGACAGCCCCTCCTCAGGCCCTAGTCCAGAGATGACGTGTCTGTGGGAATGTTTAAGGCAGGAAGGAGACGAGCAATTTTGTTTTTAAGTATCTCCCTCTCACGAGTATCTCCCTGACTTTTTCATTTAGAAGCTGAAGAATTTTCTTAAGACATAAGATACAGTTGTATCGTGTGTATACTTAAAAAAAAAAAAAAAATTCTTGTTAGTATTTCTGCCCTTGACCTATTGAATGGAAAGTCAAGAATGAGCTAAGGTGGTATATACTCCGTGTTCAACTTGTATACTTAAGTTTATAAGCCATATGTAGTGTTTTTATTTGCTGGCATCACCTGACTGGGACAGTTGTAACGAATTATCCACATGGGATAAGAAGAGCGTGTTCTATAAAAACAATTCTGATGTTTTGGTATATATTTTAATTGTTGATTAGTTGGGGTCCTCTTGATCTTGAACTGTTGAAGCCCAATTCTCAAAGAATGGGAAATTTGGAAACTAAGATATGAAACACAATGATTTAGCAAACCATTCTGTTATTCTTTCAAGCCATTGAGTGGTTTGACTACGTTGTGTGAATTTTCGTTTTGAAAAAGTGATAAATTGGCCATTGAATCATCCATCATTTAATTAATGTAAGCAGTATATATTACACCTGCCATTGTTTTTAGATGCCTAATTAAACACTATCACAAAACAGACACAATGAAATAATAGATACATAATTTGAGATTTGATCAGTTGTATAAACTAATTTTTTAAATTTTAAAATTCAGTTTAAGGTCATTAAGCTTGTCTTGTATATTTCCCTCCTCCAGGAAAAAAAAAAATGTTTATTTCTTTGTGGGAGTTCTTCTATGGGCACTTTTTTCGATTTTGGATGAAATGGCTATTACGACAGATGACTGGGAAGTGTGAATTGCAGCGAATATTTGATACCTATGTAGGTGCACAAAGGACACACAGGATAGGTAATGTTATTCGAAAAAGAAAAAGTGCTAATAAAAGTTTAACTGAATATTTTTCTCAGTCCTCACAGTGACAGATGTATTTCTTGTGTATCCTGACAAGTCACTTAAACTGAATTTCATAAGCTTTGAAATCCTGCTTTGACTCTTTCAGCTCTAAAATTGTATGAATTTATAGAAAAAGTGATTATTGAGTTGCTTATCTGTGGAAAGAATTATCTCCTTTGGCTCCTGAAGTTTATCAGTTATTCCTTAGATTATAGCTGCAACCTATTTTCTGGTGAAGAATTTCTATACTTATATAATCCCTTTGAAATTTTCACTCACATGATGGGATGAGTGCCTCAGTCTAGATCCATTTTTATACTTGGCATCCTTCATCAGCCTTTTACTTTCTTACTGTTACTTATGAAAGGCCAGTAATTAGATACCAGTGGTCTCTGGGAAAGACTATTAGACTCATTCTCACTGTCCAATACCATAGCCAATAGCCACATTATATTGAGCATTTGAAATATGGCTAGTCTAAATTGAGATGTGCTGTAAGTGTAAAATATAAACTGTATGTCAAAGACTTACAAGAAAATGTAAAAAAATTTCAGTAATTGTTTATATTCTCTATATGTTGAAATGGTAATATTTTGGGTATATTGGGTTAAAAATATATTAAAATGTTATCTGTTTCTTTTTACTTTAATGTGGCTATAGAGAATTTTAAAGTACACAAATGGGTCACAATATGGGTTGTGTTATATTTCTGTTGAACAGTGTTGCTCTGGTACCTTCTAAAATACATCAGTTTTCAGTGCTTCAGTGAAAATTTTACTCTAAAATTTGAACATATATGAGTAAGAACTGTGGTTTGAAGTCGCTTCTTTTCAGCCAGGGTCAGGAAGAGCAGAGAAGTGCTCTAGCTCATGCTCTCTGTGTTAAACAGAAAATTGTGAATAGCCAGATTTCCTTTTGTGTTAATCAAGTGTGCTTCAACTGAGAAATCAACCCCTGTCAGGTTGAGAGAGTGGAGTATTGACAATTGGAACCTGTATCCAAAACAACATCGGAAGAATGACAGACAGAAGCTGCCTCAGGGCAACTGGTTGATGAAGTTTAATTACTTTCCTAGTTTTCTTACAACTTCATGGCTGACTTAAATTATTGCTGCTCTTTTAACTTGCCCTTTTGACTACTCAAAAGAGCAAAGTACATCTTGATAAGAAATCTCTTCAGGCAGTATGGGTTGGTGTTTTAGAGTGTGGGGGAAGAATATATATAAAGGCATTTGTTTGTGGCAAAAGCATTTTTCTTATATTTTTCAAATTGCTGAGAAAAGATTATTCGTAAATGTGCCAGAAATTTTTTTAAATAGACCAATAAAAATGTTCCTGTCATTCTTGATATAGAAACCAGGAATGGAGAAGCTATTTGTCTGGTGACAGAAGGGTTGACCAGATAATCTGAAGTCCTTGCTCCTTTGTTGTACAATTTGGTTGCTGTCACCTCAAATGTAAACGCTCAGGCTAACAAATGAAAATGCAATAGAGAGCACTCTCATTGTAGTGTTAAGATGAGTTTCTGGGACCTGAGCTACTGTGAAGCAATCATGGGTGAGTTTGCAGTGGTTAGTAGACACTTCGGGGTCTAAACAGAAACAGATGACCCCAGGTAATGAGGTTGGTGTCCCCTCTTTGGATAGATATGTTGTGTTCGGTTGAGTTATTTATACTGTAAGATTAAATTTTAAAATGCTTGCTGTTATGTAGAAATTATATCTCCTGGAACTATTAGTTTATTACTGGTTTGATATTTTTACTAGTTGTTTATTATAAGGTAATCCACAAACAGCATTCAATGGTAACATCTTTTTTTTTTTTTTTTGTCATTTCAGAAAATTCCTTGACATACTCCAAGAATAAGGTAGGATAACATAAAGGTGGTAACTCTAGAAAACTTAACTTGGACATATTTTTTCTTAAAAAAATAAAAAGTGCCCTGCTAGAAGAGTGTTTTCTATAAGGAGCGTTGAGTGAAATTTTCCCCCTTTAGAGGTAATATTCTGTTTTCAAATGTTTCTCTATGTATGTGTGTTTTTCATGTGTGTTTCAAAGAAAATACTTGAATAACTCATCCTGTTCTTTGGTTTTACTTGTTTATTTTGCTTTAAGAGTTGATAGCTTTTGGGAAAGCAGGGCCTTAGAAGGAAAGCTGTCTTTTAGACAGTGTCTTCCGGATAGGTTATGTGAGAGAAAAGCAACTTAGGATAATAGAGAAAACCCTGGGTTGTGTACCTTCTGAGCTCAAATAAGTCATAATTCATGCTATGTATTAGTCAGCTTTTGCTGTGTAACAAACTATTATAAAATCTCAGAGGCATAAAATGATAGTTGTTTCTTGCTCATATGTCTATGGGTCAGCTGGAGAAGCCTTACTTCAGGCTGAGGCCAAGTTCCTGTTTATTCCATTCGTCTCATCTGGGACTCAGGTGGGGGGTTAACAGGTACCTGGTGAATGTTTTCACCATGGGTAACTGAAGGCCCGACCACACAAACATATTTTAAGTTTCTTTGTGTCATGTCTGTTAGCAACCTGTTAGTTAAAACAAGTTACGTGGCCAAGCGCAAGTCAAGGGGTGGAGAAATATGATATGCCCACCATAAGGCTATGGTAGGGAGTAGGTTGTATAATTCAATTACAGGGTAATGAAGAATTGGGACCAGTAATTCAGTCTACCACGTGCTGTTACTTCCCTATTGTAGTTCACAGTTTTGTCTACACGTAGATTATTTGGTGTGGCAAGGATAGAATATGGGTCATCTAGACCATTGTTTGAAATCCCATAATAGAACACAACCAGTATTAAACAATAATAGGAATAGAATAGAAAATATTTAGAAACCATTGGTCATAATATGGTTAAATATATTTTAGGAATTTTTTATACTATTATAATTATTTTAAATATTTCTGTGTACATCTGTATGTATTTTAGACATCCACATGAATGTTTGTTCTTAGCCATAATGTAAAATGTGGCTTAAGGTCAAAAATGTTGCTTTGCTACTGTCTAGTAATATGAAATGTGCCAGAAATAAAATAGACCTTCTTGAGAGTTGCAAGCATATCTGTTATTTTCTGAAGAGTAACCTTTAAAATAGGTACTTTAATGATTTAGTTATACTCTTCAAGAATGGTCTATGTAAGAATAACTCATATATAAGTGAATATTTGGGGGAAGAGTCCAGAGTTACACTCCTTTGTTCAGAATTGTTAGAGAGTGATTAATGTATTTTTGAAAATGAGGATACGGAGGTCCTGAAAGCTAACAAGTTGCTGGTTCTCAACATTTATTTATACCTTATCTATTTATATAGTTCCTTTGTTTGAAACATAGGATGCAGTTTCCCAAAGTAACAATATTATAAATTGTAGCAGATGCAGTTGGGGAGGTGTTATATTTCAGGTCCATTACAAGAGTAGTTCTTAAATTAAGGATGAATCAAAATCTTCTGGAGGCCTGTTAAAACACAGAGTATTGGGCCCCACCCCCAGAATTTCTGATCTGGTTCTGATTGCATTTCTAACATGTTCCCAGGTGATACTGCTGCAGCTGTTCCTGCTGCTGGGGGCAGTGTCTTGAGGCACTAATAGCATATTAGTATGCTGTCTCGGAACTATTGTGGATCATAACTGCTTTAACTTAGTTTCGATAGGAAACTGTGTGCATTTTTCAAACTGACCTTAAACAAGTTGGTTTGGAACTATTTGGGTGCTGAACCCTCTAGAATGAATTGTTCTGTGAAACCTATTTTCTTTAAGCCTCGACGTTGTAAAGAGAGTAAAACCATAACTGAGCTCTTTATATTATACCCACCATCCCCAGCTTCCAACCCTAATTTTTCAGTAGTGTATTCCTTCAAATACCTTGACATCTCTCAGCCTGGAAGTTGACCAACACTGCCGCTGCTGTCTACTAAAACTCTTCTCTGGTCCCCTTCATGGCTCTCTGACTTTACTACTATTCTTGCCTTGCGCACCGGTCATCACCACTGTGCTGCCTGTTATTTTCCGAACACATCGGCATGCTTCTGGTTTATGACCTTTGCACCAGGTCTTCTGTTTAACTAGGATTATCTTCTTCTGCTTAAAAGCTTAGCTCACTTCTTCATTTTCACGTTTTCCCTCAGTTATGACATCCTCTATGAGATTTTCCATGACCATTCTCTACCTAAGGGTATACTCTTGTCTCTGTTTATGATCCCCTTTCCTTAGTTGTTTCACCGTAGCACAGACCATCCCTAGCATACCAAATATTTTACTTACTTGTTTTTCCACTCCTGAAAAGAAAAAGGCATTCTTTGGGTTTTGTTTTGTTTTGTTCACTGATGTTTTTCTAGTACCTGAAACAGTGCCTGGAATGTGATAAGGACTCTGAATATGTATTGAGTGAATGAATGAATAAGTGAGAAAAATAAGAGGTTAAGGAATAATAAGTAAATGAAAATTTACTTTTTTCAGAATAGAGTGTGTAGTGTGTCTTTTATTTACCAATTTACTGCAGAGGTTCTGGAACTGGCGACCCAGTATCACATCTATCAGTGTAATTGTTAGTACTGCATTTATAACAACAGTTTTGGTCACAGAATTTATTAATGGGATTGTATGTGTGGTAAAATCATGCCAAGCTTAAGTGGAACAGTACATAAGATGCTACATTTAAGAACTCCAGTGCCTTGGTCAAATCCATTCAAGGATTTGAATGACTACCGTATGTTCAATATTCAACCAGGGTCTTTGGGATATTCAAAAGATATACAAAAGAAGACTGAAATTGAATGTAATTGTAAATAGAGGTTTAGAGAAGCAAGAGGTAAATGTAGTCTAGAGTGTTTGGGGATTTTAAAGTAGTGGTTACAAGTTAAAGAAAAATAAAATGTTCATTTTTTTTTTTTTTGACACAGAGTCTCGCTCTGTCGCCCAGGCTGGAGTGCAGTGGCGCAATTTCGCCTCACTGCGAGCTCCGCCTCCTGGGTCCACGCCATTCTCCTGCCTCAGCCTCCCAAGTAGCTGGGACTACAGGTGCCTGCCGCCATGCCTGGCTAATTTTTTGCATTTTTAGTAGAGATGGAGTTTCACCGTGTTAGCCAGGATGGTCTCGATCTCCTGACCTTGTGATCCGCCCGCCTCTGCCTCCCAAAGTGCTGGGATTACAGGCGTGAGCCACTGTGCCTGGCCTAAAATGTTCATTATTTTTTACCTCTGTTGCTTGCTGTTAAAAAGTTCACTTGAAAAGTAAACATTAAAATTGTATTCTTATAACTTCATTATTCAAAAATAGAAATTGCTGATAGTACGTTGGAGGGCCTGCAAAGGAATCGTCAACAAATGGGTAAATACTGAAATTAAATCACTTATGGTTTATTCTTTTAAAGTTTTAAATCTAAGATAAACTTTCCAATAAACAGAAGTAGCTTTATCAATTTAAAAATATAATTTATGTGTGTATTGCACCTAATTTGTATATTCCATTTACTTTGTAGGGTAAATCTTTTTCTCATTTTGTGATATTTTGGTTTACCTAATTACATTTTTATTCTATGAAAAAGTCGGGGTTCAAATCCTGATATTATCAATTACCAGTTGTTTGACTTTGTGCAAGTTACTTATTTGCTCATTCTAAAAGCTATTCATACCCACATAGTTGTTTTGAAATTAGAGATACTACTATGAAAACAGTCTAAGAGAATGCCCAATACTTGATAAGTATTCAACAAATAGTGGTTACTAATAATATTAATTATAATAGAATTAAGCCAATATATACCATAATCATTTTAGAAGTTTGATATTCATGAAAACCTCTTTGGTACTTCAGATTACTTAGCATTACCAATGATTGCTGTGAATAAAAGTGATTTTAATCTATTCAGAGTGATTCCCTAAAGCAGTGATCTTGGAGTATGATCCTGTTGGGTTATGAACTGTTCCACAGTGTGCATTCTTTCTTTGTTAAAAATTGAGTCTTATTTGCTTATATTTTAGATTAAGGACTATTTATCAATTAGATATTAAGGGTTACTAAACTTTGGGATTTATAAACAAATATTAATGACTTATCAGAATCTGAGGAGTCTAATTCAATATTCTGCTAAGAAGTCTGGCTCCCATGCAGTATATGACAGTATAGCAAAGCTCCATGTACTTATGCATACACAGGCATCTGAATTTCTGAAAGTTAGGGAGAAATACTTTGGCAATCTATTAGTGTTTTTGGTGGCTGTCTTTGTATTGCAGCTGCTGTCTTAGGTTTTAAATAATAATAATATAGCTGTTAGATAGTTGAATAATAAATAAGTTTTATGACATTAGTTTTCTTTTAATGCTATAGTGATGCACATTTGCATTTTTGGGCCTCTACTTTTCCATTACAGCCTATAGTCATTCAAAGTATAATAAGGGGATTCTATGAGCAACTTTATGCCAGTAAATTGTTCCATTTATATGAAATGGACAAAGTCCTTGAAAAACAACTTACCAAAACTAACACAAAAAGAAGTAAAAAATCTAAATAGTCATGTACTTAATAAAGAAATAGAAGCTGTAATTTAAAATTTTTTCACAAATCTCCAATCTTGGGTTCACTAGTGAAGTGTTAAACATTTAAGGAAGAAGAAATAATACCACTATTACATTAGCTCCTAGGAAACAGAATAGAAAGAAACACACTTTATGGGGCCAGTATCATCTTGATACTCAAGCCAGAGATAGACAACATAATATATGAAAATTACAGTTCAATGTCCTTCATGAATATAGGTGCAAAAGTCCTTAACAGGATGCTAGCAAATTGATCCCAGTGATACATAAAAAGGATAATATGTCATGTTGAGGTTTTTTTTTTTTTTTACTTTAAGTTCTAGGGTACATGTGCGCAACGTACAGGTTTGTTACATATGTATACATGTGCCATGTTGGTGTGCTGCACCTATTAACTCGTCATTTACATTAGGTATTTCTCCTAATGCTATCCCTCCCCCTTTCCCCCACCCCACCACAGGTCCCTGTGTGTGATGTTCCCCTTACTGTGTCCAGTGTTCTCATTGTTCAAGTCCCACCTATGAGTGAGAACATGTGGTGTTTGGTTTTTTGTCCTTGTGATAATTTGCTGAGAATGATGGTTTCCAGCTTCATCCATGTCCCTACAAAGGACATGAACTCATCCTTTTTTACAGCTGCATAGTATTCCATGGTGTATATGTGCCACATTTTCTTAATCCAGTCTATCATTGATGGACATTTGGGTTGGTTCCAAGTCTTTGCAATTGTGAATAGTGCCGCAGTGAACATATGTGTGCATGTGTCTTTATAGCAGCATGATTTATAATCCTTTGGATATATACCCAGTAATGGGATGGTGGGTCAAATGGTATTTCTAGTTCTAGATCCTTGAGGAATCGCCCCATTGTCTTCCACAATGGTTGAACTAGTTTTTTGGTACGGAGCCTCGCTCTGTTGACCAGGCTGGTGTGCAGTGGCGTGATCACGGCTCACGGCAACCTCCACCTCCTGGGTTCAAGCAATTCTCTCGTCTCAGCCTTTCAAGTAGCTGGGATTGCAGGTGCACACCAGCATGCCTGGCTATTTTTTGTATTTTTGGCAGAGACAGGGTTTTACCATTTCTCAGGCTGGTCTCAAACTCCTGACCTCAGGTGATCCACCCACCTCTGCCTCTCAAAGTGCTGGGATTATAGGCATGAGCCATCGCACCCGGCCCGTCATGTTGAGTTTTCAGAATCAATGTATGTAATTTACCACATTAACAGAGTAAATCAGAAAAATATGAACATTTCAGCAGATACTGAAAAACTGTTTTGACAGAATTCAGTACCAATTCATGATTAAAAAATCTCAACTAGATAAGGAACTTTCTCAACCTATGAAAGGCTGTGAAAAACATGCAGCTAACATGATACATAACGCTGAATTATTGAATGCTCTCCACATTCAACTAAGAAGAAGACAAATAGATGTACTCTCTCTGCTTTTATTCAGCATCATACTAGAGATCCTAAGTAGTGCAGTAAGGCAAGAAGAAGCAATATAAGACATAATGATTGGAAAGAAATAAATTATATTAACAGATGACATTATGAATGTAGAAAATCTTAAGAAATCTACAAAAACTACTGGCATTATTAGTAAATGAATTTAGTAGTATTGCAGGACATGGTATACTACTGTATGTTAGCAACAAACTTTTGGAAAATAAAGAACAGTACCACTTACAAAAGCATCCAGAAAACATAAAATATTCAGGGCTAAATTTAATGAAAGATACATAAGACTTCTGCACTGAAACTCCCAGAGAAGATTGCTGAGAAAGATGAAAATGGAACCATACACTGTATTCATCCATTGGAGGTCTCAGTATTATTAAGATATTAATTCCCAAATTGATTTATGGATTCAATGCATTTCCAGTAAAAACCCCTGCAGACTACTTTTGAAGATTGTGACAAGCTCATTCTAAAGTTTATAAAGAAATGGAAGGGACCTAGAATAGCCCACATAATCTTCTAAAAGGACCCCCACTACCTGACTTTAAGACTTTCTAGTCAAAAGATGAGTATAACAGATGAGAGACCAGAAATTGGCCACACCTAATATGTCATATAATTTTTAACAAGGGTATCAAAGCAATTCAGTGAGGAGAAGAAAGTCTTTTCAATAAATAGTGCTGGAACAACTGGGTATATATAGGGGAAAAAACAAACCTCAGCTTCAATCTCTTATCATACATGAAAACTAATTTAATATGGACATTAGACCTATGTTTAAGCTAAAACTTAAAATACTCTCCTATGCTCTGAAAGCAAGCATAGGAGAGTATCTTCCACCTTGGGTTATGCTACCACTTAAAAAAATTGAAAAGTTAAATTTCATCGAAATAAAACTGCTTATCAAAGATATCTTTAAGGAAGGAGTAGGCAGGCCACAGACCAACAACGTCTTTGCAGCATATTTTTCTGATAAGGGATTTGTATCTAGTAAAGCACTTTTATAAGTCAGTAATAAAAAGGCAACAGAATTTTTAGTGGACAAGAGTCTTGAATAGTCACTTGACAAAGGTGTATATATACATATGTGTGTGTGTGTGTATACACACTTGGAAAAGTGCTCAGCATTATTAGTCGTCAGGGAAATGCAAATTAAAGTCACAATAAGAGGACACTAAAAGTTACCTAAATGAAATAGACTAACAACACAGATGTTGCAAACACCAGTTGGAGTATAAGATGATATTATCACTTTGGAAAGTGGTTTTGGCAATTTCATTGAAAGTTAAACACATACTGCCCTATATCTTAGTAATTTCACTCTTAGGTGTCTAAGAAATGAAAATATATATTTATCAAAAGTATAATAAAGTGTGATCCCAAACTGGGAACAATGCAAATTTCCAGTACCAGGAGAATGAATAAGCAAATTGAGGTATATTCATGCAATACAACTCAACAATTAAAAGGGACAACTTACAGATATGAGAAAGAATGTGGATTTGAGTAAGAATGTGGATGAATCCTAGAAACGTTAGTTGAACAAAAGCCAGACACAAAAGAGTACGTACTTTGATTCCATTTATGTGCACAGCTAAGCTATGGTGGTAGAAATCAGAACAGTGGTTGCTTCTTGAAGGAAGAATGAATTGAAAAGGGGCATAAAGGAACTTTTTGGGATGATAGAAATGTTCTGTATCATAGTAGGGATGTGGATTATCTGGATGTATGTATTCGTCAAAACGGATCAAATAGCATCTGTGCCTTTCACTGTATTTAAATTATAAATCAATTTTTAAAAAAGTAATGGAATAGTATATATAGGAAAGAGTATTTGCTTAGAAACTAGATGTGGTTTCTCTTCTTAACTCTGCCGTACATTTATGTATGCCTTGGGCGAGTTCAATCTGTCATTTGTTCATAATATATGTAATGAAGTTTTGAGCATATAATCAGTAATGTGCTATGCTAGATGCTCAAGTTATAAGAGTAAATAAGAGAGACAAAAGCTGGTAGAGAACATAGAGAAACAAAATACGGTGTGGTCAGTGCTCTCTAACTAAAGTATGACTGTGAAAAGAAGTAGGTAACTCTAGGGCTGGGGAAGGCTTCGCAGAGGAGGTGACATTGAACTGGATTTTTAATATTTTAGGAGTTTGTAATACATGCAAAAGGTATGGCTTTTGCCTTGACTACACATGGCGAAGGTAGTCCTTTTACCATTGCTGGTGTTTAAGCTTCAACACTCTTCCTGTACCCATACTATCTCAGGATTAGACAAACTAGACTTTGTTGACCACATCTGTATCTTTACTGATTGTTATTAATAGATCTTTGACCATTTTCTTCTCACCTTTTACTTTTATCTGGGGAAATCTGTTTCTTTCTCTCTCTCTCGCCTTGGGGTATATCTAAACTACGGACTCTTATTTTTATTTTTCTTACCAGTTTTGATTCGAAGTCTTAGTTTGCGAACTGTTCTTCAGTATGCACAGTAAATTCCTACAGTTCAAATTTGATCTGATTTTGTTTTTGTCAATGCCAATTTGTTACCAGTGGTGATCTCTGGAGACAAGATTATGAGATTCAACTCTTTTCTGCATTTAATTTTTTAAACTTATGCATTCAAGATTTTTTAACATTTTTATTATGTAATTAAAATATCTACTTCATAAACACTATGGTGGCAGCTCATTTGCTAAGAACTCGTCAGCTGAGAACCTGTTGACTCAGTTGAGGAAGCCTTCCTCTGATACATCATGTTGCTGTTCTTTTATTATAAAACTATATATATATATATATATATGAGGTTAGCCCTAGAGAAATTTTGAAATAAACTGGTTGCAACAAACTGGGTTTATTTTGCATTTTCAATATCTACTTTGTAAGGTTGATTAAATGCCTCAAAACTGTGTCTTTTTCAGCTACAAAGAATTTTTCTCATTTGGCTTTCTTTCATATAAATAGGTTTTACAGAAGGCGACACGTGTTGTTCAGAGTGAAGTGGACAAATGTGTAGACGATATTATGAAGGAAAAGAATATTAACCCTGAGAAGGATGCCAGGTGTGCTTTTTGTACATTATTATTTTTTTATTATGCAGTCATAGCCTGTAAAGTATCGAGATCACACACTGTTGTAACACTCTAGAGCTGAAGGGTTTGTGGAGATCATCTGATTCAGTGCTCTCACTTCACAAGAGGAGCAGTCGAGATCCAGAGAGGGCAGTGATAGAATCAGTACTAGAACCTGTATCTCTTGGTTTCCAATCCAGAACTAATGCCAGTATATCATCTGCCTTCTTCAAGGTGTCTTACCATGACTTTCCCAAGGCTAATAACTTTGGCTACTATGTCTTTTGAAATACAGTTCCTATATCCTCTAGTAAAATCCTCCCAGGCTCCTCCATTCTGAGTTAGATGCATTGCTGTGGCATCTCGTAGTTCTATCATACCATGTAACCCATTGTACTATAGTCATTGATTAACTCTTGTCCTTCCCCCTGTAAATTCTAAGTTCCGTAAGAAGAGGACTTATCCCATTTCTGTGTTCCCAGCACTGGTATGTTGACATAGTATTTCATATTTTTTCCTTCATTCAGCATTTTCTATGTGAATATAGAGGAAGGAACAATTTATTTCAGCTGAGACGAGGAAGGGTCTAGGAGGGAACTGTGAGGATAGTTCCACCTAAGAGCTGGCATTTACGCTGGACCTTCATGAGTGGGTAGGGGAGCAGTGCCAGCAAGGCACAGAGACATAGAACTATTAATACTTTTGTATCTGGAATGATAGGGAGTTATTTGTAGCTGGATCATTGAATATGATCAGAGTAGTGGCTGGAGAAATGAGTGAAATGCTAGATTGATACATCACAGAGTCTTGTATGCCATACTGAAGGATGTAGATGTTGTCCTCTGGTTTTTAAGCAAACAAGCTACATTTTTAGATATGTATTTTAGGAAGATGGAGCGTAAATTTGATGATGTGGGAGGCTGGCAGAAGGAGTAAACAAGAGGAAACTTGAGTCATTCAGGCAAGAAATGACAAAGGCATAAATACAGTAGGAGAAAGAGTGCTATGAGGATTGCTTTGTTCAGAGCTAGAAAGGATTAGGGTATGGGGATCTTTGGACACATTGTGATGGAGAGAGGCAGGTCAGAACTTGGAGTGTTGTAGCTTGGGGAACTAATGGGTAGCGATGTCATTAATAGATCTAGAGACTAAAGAAGAAGCATGTTTGTGTAGGGAAGAGAAGCAGTTGTATTTAGAGCTGAGATAAACTGTTGTGGAGCTATTTGTTTTACATATACTTGGAAAATTAAGTCTACTGGTGGTATCTGGCAATAAGGATTTAGGAATGTATAGGATTGCCCAGAGAAAACATGAAGAGAAAAGCCTTCACAAATCCTTACAGTTGTGAAGTTTGCCATTCCTACCATATCTTGCCCTCTTTCTAGGCCTTGTATCCTATATAATACTTTTGTGTTTTGTGTTTAAGGAGGCCTTTGGTGGGTCTTATGTTAAACTGAAAGCCAGGAAATGCTTTCTAAATAGATTTACGAACCCCAAGCTATGAAAGACTTTATTGTGATAAGAAGGTATGCTTTTTAAAAATAATTTTATTATTTTTAGTTTTAAAATCTGCATGAAGATGTGCTTACTTCAGATAACTGGTTATAAACAGCTCTATTTGGATGTAGAAAGTGTGAGGAAAAGGCCTTATGATTCTGATAACCTACAACATGAAGAGCTACTCATGAAGGTAAATTTCTGTTTTCTTTATGTGGAGTTGTTGAACACTAGAAAAATAAATCAGGCTTCAGCTAAGTAAAGTCTGTGCAAATTCTAGAGGCTTATATGGCTAGGCTTATATGGTTTCTTTGCCCTTAGAGAATTTTATTATGCTGGATTTCATTGATACGGAAAGATTTTTAGTTAGCTATTTTTATAATTTTCTGATAAGCATTATTATAAATATATAATGAATATGTTTTTATGAATAAATATATGCAAATAAATTTTATTTTAATGTTTTTAATTCTGAAATAAAAACCTATAGAGATCTTTTCAACCAAAAGTATATGTCTACAAGTTTCAGATTTTTCTCCTACTTTTTATACAAACTGCTCATATAAGTTACGCATTTTTTTAGCTACTTACAAATTGAAAACATGCGTATCCCTTTTCAGATTATTATGTCCAATCTTTTGGGACTTACAGAATGTTAATTGCCAAGTAATGCCACAAAAGATTTAAACTTTATGAAAGTAAAAATTATTTACTTAGAGTTTTTCTGTTTCTTATTTCTAAAGTCTAAATGCATAAAGCCAATGAGGTGCCAAAATTAAAGAGTAATAGACCTAGAGTAAGCTTTACAGATCATCTAGACTAGTCTCTTTGTTTGAGGGATGAAGATTCCAAGGACCAGGGAGATGAAGCGATTTGCTTTAGTCCTAGAATGATAGGGACTGGAACACAGCTGAATCTCCTGCCCATCCTCTACACCTATTCCAATTTTATTTGAAAATGGTTAAAGAAAGTAGCACATTGCACTTGGAATTAGGAGTTCTGTGGAAACAAACATTGATACTATCTAAGTAACACTAAGCAATACAAGTTTAAAAACAATAAAGGATTTTTTTGCTTTTCAGGAAAAGTGTATTTTGTTAAATGAGGATAATACAAATATGTATCTCAAAGGGTTATTGTATGGATGGGTTTTTATATTTAAAGTGTTTAAAATAGTACCTGGCACTTACTGAGGATTAACTGCTATTTCTGTCCCCATTGTCATCGTTATTCCCTTCATGTTAGGCCCTTGCTACACAATATCGTTCCTTTTGAGGGAAAAAAGTACAAGTCCTAGACCTTTAGTCCAAGGAATTTTACCTTGGTGCTTCATGGTGAAATTCAGTTCTACAGTACACATACTCAGCAGTCTACACTACACATATTCAGCAGTTCTACACTACACATACTCAGCAGGGTAAAGAGCTGTGTAATCCGTCTTGCTTTAAGTGTAGTCCAAGGACCATCTTTACTAGAGTTAACTAGTGTTCAGTGTGTAGATTCCAAAGTTCCACCTTAGACTTACAAAAATTACAATCTCCAGGAATGGAACCCAGAAATTCAATATTCATGCATATTAAACTTTTAATACTAGTGGTTCTATACTGTGGCTCTCACCACATCACTGAGACCTTACCATTGGCATGATCAAACTCCTTGCAGAATTCATGGAGAGAGGCTAATGTAAGCAAGTCACACGTGTTGGTAATAAAAGTAGTGACCAGGTAAACCTAATCTAATGCTTGGATTTAGCTTCAGAGCCAGTCTTGACCCTGTTTTAAAACACGGTCACAAGTCTTCACATTTTATTTTAGGTAACAGAATACTCCTTTCATTAGGGGTCCTTATTCAACAATGCCTGAAATGGTAATGAAATGGGAAAAAATGCAAGTATTTCTGTTTTGCAAATTTTCACAGACCTTTTTTAGTCAACTTCTGTGTCTTTCATTTGATGGCTTGTATTGAATTTAAGCAATAAATTTTCTTTATTTTGCATTGATTAGTTTGTTGGTATGTAATATTTGATAGCTGTTTTTGTTGTTGTTGTTGTTGTTTTTGAGATGGAGTCTCACTCTGTCACCCAGGCTGGAGTGCAGTGGTCCGATCTCGGCTCACTGCAAGCTCCGCCTCCCAGGTTCATGCCATTCTCCTGCCTCAGCCTCCCGAGTAGCTGGGACCACAGCTGCCCGCCACCACGCCTGGCTAATTGTTTGTATTTTTAGTAGAGACAGGATTTCACCATGTTAGCCAGGATGGTCTTGATCTCCTGACCTCGTGATCCGCCCACCTTGGCCTCCCAAAGTGCTAGGATTACAGGCGTGAGCCACCGTGCCCGGCTTGATAGTTGTTCTTAAATCCTCATCCTTAAAGATATTTATTTAAAACCAAATCATATTTTTTTAAACTGAAAATGTGTAAAACAAGTTGGAATGCTATCAGTATCATTTCTTCATCCTCTTCTGTCTTAGACCTATTTTCATTCTGATTAAGCACTATTAACCCACCATTATAATACAGCCTATTTAACTATATGGTATCTGAAGCAAGGGCTAAGTTCCTAAAATACTGTGTTCTTCTCAAGCAAGCAGTTTACCAGTTCTGGGCATATCTGTATTAATTAGTAAATAAAAGACGTCTCATTGTTTTATATTTTTGTGTATTATTTGTTTTCAAAATCTGTTCTTTATACTAGTCTTTTTAATGGGAATAAATGTGCTGCATGTTTTAGGATAGTTGAAAAATGTTCTAAAGTCTTTGCTTAACCTATGATTTTTCTACAAAAGTTATTTGATAGCATTAAATTACTAGTTATAAGCTATGAGAAAGAAAATGTCTTAATAATGGAAATATGTTTGTACAGCTTTGGAATCTTCTAATGCCCACGAAGAAGTTAAATGCTAGAATCTCCAAGCAGTGGGCTGAAATTGGTTTCCAGGGTGATGATCCCAAGACAGACTTCCGAGGCATGGGCATACTTGGATTAATCAATCTTGTGTAAGTGAAAGTGAACTTTTTTTTCTTCCCTAAATGAAATTACATGTAATCTCTGATCTAGTTACTTCTAATAAGAAGTGATCTAGTTGATTCATACTATCTCTGAATTTTAATAACTGCAGTGCTGGGAGTATTTGCTAATGTGTTGGCAACAATATGAAGATACTGGAGGCCAGGCACATGGCTCAGGCCTGTAATCCCAGCACTTTGGGAGGCTGAGGCCAGAGGATCACTTGAGGCCGGAAGTTTGAGACCAATCTGAGCAATATAGTGAGACCCTGTCTCTACAAAAATAATTAGCCAGGCATGGTGGCATTTGCCTGTAGTCCAGCCACTTGGGAGGCTGAGGCAGAAGGACTGCCTGAGCCCAGGAATTCAAGTTTACAGTGGGTCATGATTGTGCCACCTCCAGTCTGAGTGACAGAGCAAGACCCTGTCTTTAAAAAAAAAAAAAAAAAGACATTGGTGGAAATATACTTGTGTTTGTGATTTCTTTACTTACCAATGCTTTCCTCTCCTTTTTCTTTCTGATCTCCATTTTGATACTTCTTAAAGAATTATGTATCCTCCTACTGCCTTTATTCACTTGCTTTTTCTCTCTGGGCTCCCTGATTCTATTTTGGCAAATATAACCAGGTAAGGTGATAATAAAGTCTCTTTACTCTTTACATATATTCTTCACCACCTGTGACAACTTACCTACCTGCATTCCTGACTTTGTATAGACTACCATATGAACTTTCTCTCTTTTATCTTCTTTAATACTTATGATTAGCTACATGTATGAAACCCCAAATATGTAACTCAAGTCACAATTGATAGCCAAAACTATTCTAGAAGATGGCCCAGAAGATTAATTTCCTCCCATAAGGATATGCAAATATACAAATTGTAGTGTTTGGATCTGTCCATGAAATTGTGATTTATAGACTATGAAATGTCTAGAATGGGAAGGCTAGGCTATTAAAGTTTGGATAATTCTTACTGTGAAAAAATCCTGAAATTGGCTAAATTAGGTTAATTTTGATGGTTTTTCTTATTGTGTATATATGTTTATTTTTCACCATTTGATACTGTTAAGACAGGTTAACTAAATTCAGGAAGGAAATTAAAAGTTGTTCTATATTACAGATTGAATATTTTAAGAGTAGTTTGACTATTAATGCAATGCTGAATTATTACAAAAATGAAATATAGTCAACTGAAGGCATTTTAGAGTCAATCTAGGGATAAAGTAGAAAAATTAGAGTACTTAGGAAAGCATTGCATTAAGCAAGACTTTTGAAACTGTTTTGGTGTTTACAGATCCCTTAGGGAATCTGATGAAAGCTTTGTATACTCTCTCCCTGGGAAACATATACACAGAAAAAGTTGTCCATAATGTAAGATGGTTCCTGGATTCCCTTTCATTCATAAATTATCATTAATTCATGGACTTCTAAGTTAACAGCCCCTGGTGTAATGGGTTGAAAATTAGAGCCAGTGAAGAAATAAGGAAGTTTATATTAATACTCTGTAGAAGAATAAAGAGGGAAGAGTTAATTAGAAATTTCTATGCTTTATGAAAATGTCAATGATTTTGTCCCCTAAAATGTGAAACCATGGACATTTATTTTTTATTTTTATCTTCATATGAGCATTGTGTGTGTGTGTCTGTCATTTAGAGGTGATCCTAAGGTTAAATAGATTTGGTATAGGCCAAAAGGATGTATGTGCCTACAAATAGATAGTTCCATATCCATCTCTCTTGTACTACTAATACTTCTGTTTTATAGCTAGTATTTTAGTTAGATGATTGATGAAGCAAAAGATTGTTGATTCCCTTCTGATTGCACTGAAAATGGCACTAAACAACACAGACTTAAATTGTAGTGGAAGGAACGAACCTAGGTGAAAGGAAGAGTGTCCTAACAGGTACATATTGACTCTTCTATAGAACTAGAACCACCAAAGAAACAAAAATAATTCAGTTTTTTTTTTAAGGTAGTCTCTTTTAATATTATCTATTTATTAAAGTACTTTACAGTCTTGTCAACGACCTATATTCTGTACTACATAGGCCTGATAGCTAGGAAATTTTGACTGAGAAGCATTTGTGAATCACTGAAGTGATTTGAGACAGATATCGGGATACTCATGGCAATACTAGGACTATCATTTTGACAGTAGCTTTTTAAATTGGTTCTGGATATCTTACATTTGAATGGCGTACATTCCTTTGATTATTTTTCTTAAACTTTTTAGGTATTTCAGTGAAAATTACACTAGTGAAGCTCATCAGATTCTTTCCCGTTCAAATCATCCAAAACTAGGGTAAGCTGGGTATATTAAAGAAGCTGTAATCTCTCACATTTATAATGCTTAGATGATTAATGAATTTGAAAGTATATCAAGGTATTTCTTAAAATGAAGTATTTAATAAGAACTTTTTAAAGAATATTACATGATACATTATTTTTAAGGATAAATGTGATTGTAAACCAATTTTGTATGTAGTTCAATATATTTTTATCACAAGATATAGTTTATCTATACAATGGAGATAAGGGCCCTTATAAAATCTTTTTGAGAAATAGATTTGAAGACAGGCAGAGGAAATAGTTTGGAAAAATAATAGGAAAATGGGAAATAGCTTTGCAAATTATAAAGTGAAATGCAAACTGAGGTAGTTTTATTAGCCTTACCGTTATTTTTAAAAATATTCTGATAGTATCTAATCTTTGAAAAAGCATAGTAACAATGTTAGATCATAAAAATAAGTACCCTGATAATGGAGAAGAAAATGTCGGATTATCCAGTGTATTTTAGGAATCAGTGAGATTTGGTGTCTGTAGTCCCCCGACCCCTTTTTTATTTAAGAATTTTAGTTTTAGATATCATGTGAACAGAGCTTTATTTTTATTCCTTAGATTATATCCAGAAAAATATACAGGCTTTAAAAAGCAAAAATGTTAAATTCTTTCTAGTATATTTTTCTTACCATGTAGAGATTATCATAAAAGCAATACTGTGTTAAACCTGAAGTCATTTTCTACTAATTCCTAACGTAATTTTAATTTATTTTATGAGTTATTCGGCTAGCTGGTGTAACTGGTAATGTTTCTGACATAGGTATTCTTATGCAATAGTTGGAATCAATCTTACAGAGATGGCTTATAGCTTACTGAAGAGTGAAGCTTTGAAGTTTCATCTCTATAACTTTGTTCCTGGTATACCAACAATGGAACACTTTCATCAGTTTTATTGTGAGTATTAAAATGAGTTAAAACTAGATCTAAGATAATTCTTAAACCACTAGGAATGTATAATATATATTTTAATCTGTTGCCTCTATGAAGGTATATAACTTATGTTTCTCATGTTATTACTTAGGGTCTTTGAAAAACAAGAAAATAGTAGAAGATGAGTCCCCAAGAGTACTCTGTACTTCAGTTTTTATATTTGCTGATTATGAAAGGCAGTATTTCACATGTAGACACATCTAAGATTCATGTAATTTTTCTTTAGGCATTCATTTTCCAGCTAACTACAAAATATATTTTCCCTCTTGAATGCTGGTTAATGAATGCTGTTAAGGACAGGCAGACCATTTGCAGATTATTTTATTATTTTTGGAAGGAAATTTAATTTAGAGGAAATTTTCACCCCCCCCCCCGCCTTGAATTTCAAGGCCAGATTTTCTTGTGGTAGGTCAGAGATACTAAGTAACTGTTCCTAAAGCTGTCTTTACTTCTCTGTTCCATTCACTTTTAGTGATAATATTTGAATACTGAAGGTTTAATTGAATGAATCCATCTTCTGAAGCTATTGTTCAGAAGCAAAGAACTCAAATCTAGTTTTTCTTCACATACTACTTTTCTTGATCTTTTTCTGTCTTTAGAATGTCATTTGCATGTTGGTAGCATATAAGAAACTACTTAGATAATAGGTGGCCAAATCATAATTTCTTTATCTTCATTGTTGAAAATATCATCCATGTCTCTTTTTCGCAGAACCTTTCCTGCCTTTACTTACACCCTAATTCCAGTTTTGTCTGCATCTTAACTTTCTCTTGCATGTGTCTGTTTCTTTCCGTCCCCATTGTAACTGTACAATATCAGGCCTTTGTTACTAGGTTACTGTAATAGCCTTTGGCAGTCTGTTTATGGTAACACTCTTCTATTTCTTCTCCACGTTGAAAGTATAGTTATTTAAAATGAAAATCTCATCATTTTACTCCACTGCCAAAAATTCTTCGAAGGATTCCCATTATAAGGCCCTGCATAATCTGAACCTTGGTAACCTCTCCAGACTCATCTTTTGCCATATACCAGCCCCCCTCGCACCCCTACAAACTCTATAGTGGAGGCATCCCAGTCTTCTTTTTAGTTGCTCAGATATATTATGCTCTCTCTTGACTCTATGCCTTTGCAAGTGACATTCACTTGGCCTGAACACTATTCCAGCTCCCTCTGTTCTTTCCAAGTGATGCCTTCTCATCTTCCAAATCTCAGTTTAGACGTGCTCTTCTCGGGGAAGTTTATTCGTTTACTGTGTGTTAGGTGTTGTTCTAGGCCCTGGGGATATAGCAGAGAAGACAAAGTCACTGAATTCAGTGAGGAGCTGTTATCTTCAGAATCAAAATTTCCCCCTAATGCAGTGTCCACCTCCAGATACTACTTCATTTCTCTGCTCCCTTTCTTCAGGAAACTTTTTCAATAATTGCTGTTTTTCATTTCTTCATCTCCAGATTTTATCTAATTCCAATTTAGTTTCTCTCTCCATGACTGCTCACACTGATTTTTCTCAAACACCAAGTTTTTTTGCTGCCTAATACCATTGCCATGTTTTTTCTTCATGTTATTTGTTCCTTTTAGTGGCACTGGGCATAAATGACCACACGTTTCTTCTGGAAACATTATTGTGACTTTTCTGATGCCACATTCTCCTGGCTTTTCTCCTGCACCACAGGAATTCCTGTAGACATCTACTACCTTACTAGATGTAGGAGCACCTCAGGGCCCAGCCTGTGCCCACTCCTCTCTTTAGCCCGCATACTTTTCCTAAGTGATACCATCTGGTCCCTTGCTTGAAATGCCAAATGTGCATTAAATGCCAAAATATATATCTTCAGCCCAACCTCTACGTTAACCCCAGCACTGTATGTCCAGATCCTTTTTCTCCCTTAATGGATAAGGATAAAGAATAATATGGGCATGCTTACACAACATAGGAGCCGATGCAGCATGTCTTTAAATGGAGGGACAGGTTTCAGGTCCCTAAGGACAGCATTGATGATTCTACCCAAGTGTACTGAAGATTTCTGGCAGGCATGAGATGCTTTCCTTTAGCATTCCAAAGTGTTGTCGCTGGGACTTTGCTAACTTGCCTCTATTTTTTTTTTAAATGAAATATATCCCTTGTTCATTAGCTACCTATTGAACATAAATATAAAAGCAATTTTAAAACTCCCTAAACAATTAAGCAGTTTCCTGTATCTCAATATATACAGGAAGGTGGTAGGTTAGAAAGCGGTGTAAAATGACCTCTGTGTAGTAGTTTTCCCCTAAAGACCAGGGAACTTGAGGATCTGTGGGAACTGTTGCTCTCCAGCACCCTCACACCATCTCGGCTGGCTCCTCTATAGGAAGGACATTAAAGTGTAATATCTGAGGTAGAAAAGTCATTGTAGAACCCTTTCAGTTGCCTCCTGTCAGCTCAATCTATCGAGCTATATAGATCATCCTGGAAACAGTGAAGCTTATGGTTTTCAATTATGTTGAGACATTAAAATGCACATACACATATACCTATGTACCTTTTAAGCAGAAGTTTCCCAAAAACTTGATTTTCATACCTGTTACCATTGGAAGTTTCACATCTTAAGGTTCTGCTTTTCTTCTTAGGAGGAACGTATTCTAACTAGAATAATAATTTGAAATCTTGTCTTTTGAATGTGCATACTTTTTTTGTTAGAGGAGTGGGATCAATTGGTTTGCACAAATTAGTTCCAAGGTCATAGTTTCTCTACAGAAGGAAGAACAGTTAAGAGATTAGTTTCCACATTTTTTGTTTCCCTACGATCTGCCTTCATCTCCCCCTTTGCCTTTGATCTCTCTGCCTTTGTTTTAATGTGTCCTGTGTAGGAAGGGCTGGAAACATTGGTAGGTAGGCTTTTTAGCTCCATTGTCATCTTGTACGTCCAAACTGTGAGCAGGTATCTGCCATGATTGTGGAAAGTTACTGTCCAGCAGGAGGGCTTAGGATTTGGGGACCTCTGTCTTCTGTATATTCCTGTCTAGGATGTCTCCATTCTAGTTTTGTAGGGCCACAATTTTAGCTGGACTTCTGGTTTGGTGGTTCCAAAAAAAAAAACAAATAGTAACACCTCAAATTTATATAACAAGAAAGTTATGCCTCAATAACAACTTTATTGAGGTATAATTTATATACCATAGAATTTACCCATTTTAAAATTACACTTAAATGGATTTTAATGAGCTAAATTCGGTAGCCATTATCATCATCCACTTTTAGAACATTTTCATCACCCCAGTGAGATGCAAGTTTACAGTTAATCCCCCTTCCTATGGTTTTCTTATCCTTAACCTCTGCAGTAAATACATGCAGGGAATTTCAGGTTTAGACATTTCATATGGCAATTTCTACAGAGTCTAAGTGTTCCAAACATCTGGACTCAAAAGGACAAAATATGTGCATCATGGAAAACAGCTCTCTCTGTTCCATCACCTTTTGCAAAGCTTTGGGGGTCTTATGCCAAGGATGGCCCTGCCAGTTTCCTAGAATTTCAGTATTTTTTCCTGTGGTTTCCTGATGTCACATTAAATCACTTTAGCTATTATAGTCTCCGTTCTTCAAGTTAGTCTTTCCCTGACACTGATTTATATTATAGGTCAACAGCCTCACTCTGAAGCATGAAGTTCCTAGTGCTTTAACTTGAGCATTTTGTTCCAGGCCCATGTAGTCATTTGAATGGGCCACATTACTGACAGTAATGAAAAAGCAATTTAAAGGACATAAGAATGGTAAATATCTAAAACATAATAACCAGATATACTGAAACAAATGGTATGGCCGTGAAATTTGGATGGCTATCTCCATTATCATACTATGCAGAACATTAATCTCTAAATGTATTTATTGTATATCCCTAACAGTGTATGGGGGATAGAGATAGCAGATGGTATTTCTTCAGAGGCTTCGTTTCTTGATATTACTTGTATATCATGGTTGACAAAAATCTGTTTTATCATATATTGAGAATAATCCAAAAATCTTTCTTAAACTGGCCTTCTTATGAAATGATATTTCAGTGTTGGAATATGATGATTTTAACCATTAATGTTTGCTTTATGACCAATATTATTAAAATAGGATTTCCATTTTTTTCATAGTAGGCAATCATGATAGTCTAGCCACCCTTTTGTGTAAAGTCATTGGCTTTTGCAACAGAGACCACTTACAAACTGTGTGATTTGGGGCACATCATTTAACTTCTCTGCACCTCTGTTTCCTTTTGGTAGAGTGGGAATAAAAACATAGTACTTGCAGCCTAGGGCTGCTCTGACAGTATATGAGCATTTAGTGAGCACTGTAGAAATATTTGAAAAAATAATTCAATAAATACATTTGATTACATACAAAGTAGGACTGGGGTGGTTTTATTTTTTATTTTTTGTTTTACTTTTTAACAGCTTTATTAAAAGTATATGGTAAACTGCACATATTATATAACATATGATAAACTGCACATATTTAAATATGTATGATTTGATGTTTTAACATATGTATACACCTGTGAAACCATCTCCATGATCCAAATGGTGAATATAATCACCACCTCTGAAAGTTTTTATGTGCTCCTTGGTAATCCATGCCTCTTGCCCCTCCCCCTACCATCCTAGGTACCGCTTTTTTTTGTCACTATAGAGGAGTTTGCATTTATTTTCTAGAATTGTATTTAAGTGAAATCATGCAGCTTTTACTCATTTTGGTCTGGTTTCTTTCTGCATAATTTGTTATGTGTATTAATAGCTTTTTTTACTTGTTACTTTTTTAAATTGACAAATTAGCTCATTTACTTTTATTGCTGAGCAATATTCCATTATATGCTACACATTGTTTATGTACTTGTTGATAGATATTTTGATGCTGGGTGGTTTTAAATTCACGTTTAAGTTTACATATGTGTGTGTGTGTGTATATAAACAAGTTCAGTTTCATGAAATACCTTTAACATTTTGGGGGTTAATTTGGCGACCATAATGACGATATTGAAAGCCAAAAATATTAAGCTGATTTAGAGTGGATTTTTTTTTTTTTTAAAGAGAAGATGCTGATAGCTCATTGAAAAAAAAAGTAGAAATAACTCTTAGATTTAGAAATCAAGAATTAAGTAGGAAATAGCTTTCCTACACTTTAGCCTTATCCAACATTTTCTCATTACTTGCATTTTTGTGCTTCAGAGATTTCTCGGGAAACTTCTCAAGGTATCTTTTGAAAGTACTACATCTTTTTTTTTTTTTTTTTTTTTGAGATAGGGTCTCACTCTGTCACCCAAGCTGGAGTGCAGTGGTGCAATCATGGCTCACTGAAGCCCTGACCTCCTGGGCTCAAGTGATCCCTTCACCTCAGCCTCCCAAGTAGCTGGGACAACAGGCACATCCCACCATGCCTGGCTAATTTGTGTACTTTTTGCAGATACGGGGTTTCGCCATATTGTCCAGGCTGGTCTCTTAAGTCCTGGCCTCAAGCGATCTGCCCACCTCAGCCTCTGAAAGTGCTGAGAGTTCAGGCATGAGTCACTGCTCCCGGCTGAAAGTCCTGCATCTTTTAAGCTTGAGAGACGTTGTTGATTTTTGAGAGCAATAGTAAATGCACACTAAATCGTTTATTGAAATTGCTGTTCATTTTGAACATACAGAAACATTTCTTATTTAGTCCCTCAGGCCTCTAATAGTTTTGAGATTACTTTTGATTATTGTATTCTAATATGGAATTTAAAGGATGGTTATATACTTTGTAAAAATGAGATGGTTTGAATGTGATTCCAACATTGAGGACTAAATGTTTTGTTTTTCTTTAACTGTAGGTTATCTTGTCTATGAATTTGACAAGTTTTGGTTTGAAGAAGAACCAGAAAGCATTATGTATTTCAACTTGTATAGAGAGAAGTTTCATGAAAAGATTAAAGGACTTTTACTGGACTGTAATGTAGCACTTACTTTAAAAGTATAAATCATCCACTGTATCTTCTATTTCTACCACATTTTGCACATTCAACAGAATTTATATGTTGTAATAGGAATTATCTGATCAATTACACTCTTATATATAATTTCCTACAAAAATATTTCAGAAATTCTATTTAAGAAAGCTAGTGGACAATCAGTGTATGTTTACAGTTGTTTATACACTGTTCTCCAAAGGTACCTTATCCTTCCAAAGATCCCCTCTGTAGAGTCATGCGAGCTACAGTTTGGAACTTGGGACTTAGCCCGTTGGTGTAAAAGTATAAATCAGGTATTTGTATTAAATTGGTTGATTAAAATGTGTAAAATCAATTTTCATTTTTATGTGTTGTGGGATCAAGTTGGTATCTTTTTTCAAAGCTCTTTAAGGTTTTTTTTTTTTTGGTTTTTAGTTTGGAAATGGCTGTTTTTAATTTTGTCTGATTTTTATTTCTAGGGTAATTAACAGGAAGAGTGTTTCTTTATGATTTTCTTTGTTTGCATCTTAATTACATGTCATAATGTTGCTTCATTAGTAGCAAACAGAGTAGAGATACGGCAGAGAGAATAAAGAATTATGGCCTCCTTTTGGGTTTCTGTGATTATTGAGCATAACTGATGAGAGAATGACAGTATTGGTGACTAGCTTTTTTGTTTTTAAATAACACACTTTAAAATGCCACAGTGTTATTTGAAAGCTTAAAGGCATTTTCTCATCTTCAGTATTTGCTTTTTATCAGTTGTAGAAAAGAACCTTAATGTTTTCTTCTCTAGCTATGTATGTTTATGAAACTGCTTTACTTGTGTATGAAACTTCTCCACCTATGTATGTTTATGAAAAGAGATGTATTTGCCAAGAAAATCTTGATTATGTAAAAGACAAAAAGATTATAAAAGACAGTTTTTATTTAAATAAAACTGTCTTTGAAACTTAAGAAAGTTTAAGTTTAAAAAAAATCTCAGTTAAACATCATTGGTTTATTTGACTTACTGTTAACTCTTGCTTCTCTTTGACTCCATGGTGTTTTTAGATAACGATGTATGAACTTTATGTTAACGGTTTGTGGGATACTAAAATAGCTTGAAGACGACATGATGACTGTGCATTTTATATAGTTTTATTCTCCTAAAATCTCAGGAGGGCAGCAAGTGCTGTCAAGGATTATATAGTGATGAGATTCTTATGGGAATGATTTCTTCTTGGTGTGTTTTACACATTTGTACTGATAGCAAAACTAAAGTTTAAAGCAGGAAAGTTTAAGTTCTCCTTAAATCCTACAGAAACCAACCTTTTGAAGACATAATTTCATCTAAAACATGATGATATTTAGCACACCTTTTAATGTGGGTGTATATCAAGTGTTTAAGGACTGGCTCGTATATAATAGAGCAAGACTTGAGACTTTTTAAGTATTTGCTCATATCTGTTGACCTTTCTCTTTCAAACTTGTTAAAGAGTGGTAAGACATATCCAATTGGAAAATAAGACGCAGTGTTGTATAGCACATACATTTAAAGTGCATGCGTTAAATTAGTTTCTCAATAAGATAAAATTATTTTAAAATTTTAGTTCCTTTTATTACAATAGTGGCAATTTAGCTTTTCAGTATTACAGGAATTTAAAAATTGGTTTCTTGTAGGGGACATCTCAACTTTGGGAATGTCTTCACTTAATTTTTAAAAAATATTTTCATGCTTTATTGGCCAGCTATATGATATATCGCAAAATCCTGACAAGTTCATTGTATTAAGGTATTAACTATTACATGGAAAGCAATTCTGTTCATCTTTTGATGTTTGTGCTGAAAATGCTTATCTTTGTATTTTGATCCTCCAACAGCAGAGAACTTGAACTGATTTAAACCTTTGTCAGTATACTTAAGAATGCTTTAAGTGTGGAAGGGGAAAATTTTAAGTAATTAAGTTTTTTCCCTTCTAGGAAGAAAAACTATGATGATGTTAAGAAAATGTCGGTATAAAGTTTGCTCAATAATATGTTCTTTAAATCCACCTCCATATGTACGTTACAAGTATCATTCTATTTTTGCTTAAAATAATCTGCATCCATTTCAGATAGTTTTACAGCAAATTGATCTAAAAGCCACTATTAAATTCTAGGTTTGAGTCTAGAAGCCAAGCAAAATGTCACCAATGTCAGTTGTAAATTAGAATGCAACATGGGCCTTCAGACTCTTGATAGTGATATACATGAAAACCGAAATATAATTGCGTCTACCTTCCTACTTTCCCTTTTGACATATGTAGTTGGAATTTTATGTAGTCTTAAAATCCATATTTAGAATCTTACCTATTTCTATAATGATTAGTAAAATGCCAAAGTAGTGATAGAATATTGTGGCATTGAAATAGCCAAAAAATTATGTTAGTTTTAGCATCAAAAAAGTAAATAAATGTTGAAATGAATTTTTGTATGTGCCAGATTGAAGAGAGTGTGTCAGTGACAGGAAGTAGTCTAAAAAATTAATAGTCATGGTTTTAATAGGGTCTGAAAGACAATCTTTAAAGAAATGGGAGAAATCGGGGTATCAGTGAACCTATACCAACCTCTCTTTGTACATAAATATGGTGATGTAGCTAGATATAAAAATCAGTGTCTTACTGGCACCATTTACAGTTTAGAAAACAATCTTTTTCTTAAAAATTCCCATCTGATTCGTATTTTTAGGAGCTACTTGGATTTGTATGTATTTTTTCTACGTGAAAATATATGTACTCTTCACTTTTGTTCCAGTATTATAATTGCTCATGCACTCTTTCTCCCCTTTGAGAACCTTCAGTGAAATATAAGTTCATCAAAGATTTGCTCAAAGGAGAAGCATCACATGAGTATGAAAAATAGATGCTTGCAGCTAGAACAGAAAAGGTTACACATGATCATGACACAGAAGATAGGAGGTTTGACTTGGAGGGCCATAATGTTTATTATCTTTCTTGAAATAATGGGGACCAGCAGCTGTTTTCTCAGGATAAATGGTCTACCCTACTTCTCCATGAACAGGTGTGGGGAGGCTTACTTTCCATTTTCATATTTATACACCTCTCTACAAAAGCAATTTTTAATGAAGATTAGTGAAATTGTTAAAAATCTGAGAGGAATCATGAGTGGAGGTGTTTGGGGTTTTTTTCTGTATTCAGTTTTTGATGAGAAAAGTTTTAAATGTAGTACAGGTAAGACCCAACTACTACCTTACTATTATAGGATGATTCTGTGTTTCTGTTAAAGTATTCAAGTAGCTTTCTCTGGGGGAAAAGTACCACTTGGACACTTAAAGGAATTGGGATTTTTGTCTACTTTGGATAAGGCAGTTGACTTCTTAAGTAAAAGCAATAGTGTAAAATGTCATTTTGTTTGGAATGTTAAGTGAGCAAATAAAAAAACATGTTGAAATTGTATAAGCCTTTCTGTTGATACTTCTTTTTTTCCATATTCCTCCATTTAGTCATTCATGCTCATTAAACATTTTTCTTATTTTTCTTATGTTGCTATAGGTAAATCAGAATATATAGAAAAAAGTTTTGATTTTCTTGACTTTTTAACTGCTAATTACCTATTTACAATGTTGAATGAGAAACAAGTGGTTATGAGACTGAAAATGTCCTCTATTTAAAAAGAAGCCACCACCTCCACCTGCCTGTTCTTACAAACAGTAGGAATAATTCATGCTAAACTGCACTGTTTTATTCTTAACTTTACATAAAAGTTCTATTATCCATCATAAAATGGATCTATTTTCACATAAATACATCATTTTTTACAGCTGCACAGCATTTCTGTGTGTGTGTGTGTGTGTATGTGTGTATATCTTACTTTGAAATAAAAATATTACAGGTAGATCTGGTTGGATAAGGTTAAGTTAGTATATTAGTACTAACTTTATTAAAGTTAGTACTAATTATAATTTTAAATATATGTATATATTTGAAAATAGAAAGGCTGGAAATTAAAGACAAAACATCCATCTTAAGGAGTTTGATGAAGAACACAATAAATGTAAAGAAAAGAGACAAGGAAATATTAAAGATAAGTGCTTAAAATGCATAGAATAGGAAACAAGCATATAGGATCAACAGAAATAAGTTTTTGCTTGAAAAGACTAATATTGATAAACTTGATGATACTAGTTAAGAATAAAGGAGAAAGCAAATAATGTCAATGAAATATGGGACATCCCTACAAATTATACAGATGGTGAAAAAAATTAATTTTTTCAAAAATTTGAAAATTTTAATGAAATACAAAAATTTCTAGAAAAAGACAGCTTACCCAAACTGTACAACAAAGGGGAAGTCAGCCCTATTAAACTGAATTAGCAATTAAAACCCTTTCTGCTAAAAACTGCAGTTCTGTATGGCTTGCATCAGTGAGCTGAATGACACATTTAAGAGTAAAATCACTTTTCACAAACTCTTGCAAATGATAGAGTATAGACTCTGCAATTCATGAGACTATCATAACCTTGATGACTAAAACTCCACAAGAACAGTATGAAAAAAAATTGTATGCCAATGTCACTTTAGATGCAATAATTATAAACAAAATGTTAGTACTAATTTTAATATATTAATGACCTGCATTTATAGATAATATTGCTTTAATATGTGATCAGTTATGGCTCAGTTGATCACCAGAATAAAACTAATGTAAGTTTTCATATTAACATTTGAAAATCATATGATAGTCTTACATGCAGAAAAAACATTTGATAAAAATTCATTTATGTTTAAAAAATAGTAAATGAGAAAAAGTGATTAATTTTATAAAGTATCCTTATAAACTACAACAAATACACTTTAAACAGTAAAATATTGGAATGAAATTTAGAAAGACTGGAGAACCATGGAGCAGTTTGATGCAGATCATTTCCCTCTAGGGACAGACTATTAATGATAAATGCTTTAACTCTATAGATTGCATTAAATCTGTAAGATAAATATAAAAACAGTTTTTCCCAATCCAAGAGTACGTTGTATACCTATATAGTTTTAAAAAACATATTTCAATAGAATTGTAGCCTTTATAGTGATACCACACATCTTTTGTTGTATTTATTCCCAGGTACTATTTTAAAATGCTTTTTTTTTTTTTTTTTTTTTTTTGAGACAGAGTCTTGCTCTGTCACCCAGGCTGGAGTGCAATAGTGCCATCTCGGCTCACTGTAACCTCTGCCTCCCGGGTTCAAGTGATTCTCCTGCCTCAGCTTCCTGAGTAAGTGGGATTACAGGTGCCCGCCACCATGAGCAGCTAATTTTTTTGTATTTTTAGTAGAGACAGGGTTTCATCATGTTGGCCAGGCTGGTCTCGAACTCCTGACCTCAGGTGATTCGCCTGCCTTGGTTTCCCAAAGTGCTGGGATTACAGGTGTGAGCCACCACGCCCGGCCTAAAATGCTTTTATATAATACATTTTTAATGTTGATTTTGTTAGCCACTTTGCCAAACTCTTTTATGTGCCAATTCTTTTGGATTTTCTGTGTACACATTCATATCACTCGTGAGCAGTAACTTTTATTTCTTTCCATCCATTTATTTGTCTTACTGCACTAGCTAGGACTTCTAGTACCATGTTGAACAGATGTGCTATGCCAGTTTGGATTTATTCAGCAAATATTCAGTCCTTTCTATTTCCCAATAAGGAGTACATTTCCCTGCTCCTTGATGTTAGGCTTGACCATGTGACTTGCCAAGATCAGTGGAATGTTAGTGGACATAAGCAAAGGCTTGAAATAGGTTCGAGCAATTGGGCTTATTCTTGCGCCTCTGCCATCACCATGAAAAAGAGCATGCCTTGGTTTGTCCATGGGTACCAGATGAATCAGAGCCACATGGAGTTGATCAGAACTGGTCATAAACCCATGGCCTAAATTTGAAGGCCAACTGAATTCAGCTAAGATTAGCAGAGCTGCCTAGCTAGCCTACTGTTGTGTGAATTCTAAATTTGTAATATTGGTCAAAAGATGTGCACATAAAACATACTGGAAGATTCCATTTATATGAAGTTTAAAAATAGACAAATGAGCCATATAATTTAGGGATGTATACTTAAATAGTGAATCTATATAAAAACACACGGAAAACCATTTACCATGAAAGCAAAGTTAAGATGGTCTCAAGTTGTGATCCCGTGGGTGGAGGTGGTTCTGCGGTGCTTGCAATTTTCTGTTTCTTGGGCTTCACTTTGTTTACCTGTTAGTTCACTTTGTAATAATACATTAAAATATTCATTTGCTTTATGCACTTTTATGTATATGTGTTATATTCCACAATGAAAATTTTCCCATTTTAACAAATGAAGACAAGAAGCAAGAATGATTTGCAGACTTTATATCTTACCTTGTTTCAAGTAATGGCTTGCCTTGTTAAACAAAGAACAGAGTGTGATTATTGCCACTTACTTTGCATGAAAAAGAAAAACTTTGTGGTGATTCTCAGGCCTGTAGGGGCTTTCGCCCACCCCCGCAGTTGTGTTCCCTATCAGATGAGATCACTGAGGCTGCTATCAAAACACTTGGTAAATCCCCAGGTACCTTCTGATAACAGATGGATTCCCTTATATTTCCTTCTGTATGGGGGCAGGGCCTATGCTTGTTTTATGTACCACTGTGTAGTATACACAATGTCTAGAGCATAGCAGATCCTCAAATATCTTCCGATGACTGGCGTTTCTCTGTACCAGGAATTGGCCAACTTGCTTCCCTCCATTTGCAACTTCCCATTGCCTGACCAGGGTCCCAGGCACAGAAATAGTTACATGTTTTATTCCTTATTCTTGAAAGAAACATGCTATTTTAAGGTTGTGATTTGTCCTAGTTTTAATTCCCTGTGAATCAGACCTTGAGGAAAGGATTTGCAGTTCATTTCGGAGGTGATCCAAGGAAACGCTGGTAACGGAGTAGGGAACCGAGATAGGGAATAGAAGTCAGCCCACAAATGTTGTAAGCTACAAATAAAATCTAAAGCTTCCCACTGACTAAAGGACCCCCTCTTGGCCAAGGGGACCCCAGAGAAACCCTCAAAACTGAATTCCCAGCCGTGATAGAATGGAAGGTCAAACATGCTTTGTTATACCCCCTCCGTTGGATGGTTTAGACACAACTGATCAGCATGAATGTTAAAATAGAGATCACAGACTGAGGGAACAGACACTTTGTGGCAATATTCTTTGTAGCATTGTAGTCTTCTCCATAGTGATATGACACATCTTTTGTTAAATTTATTCCCAAGTACTATTTTTAAATGCTGTTACACATTTTTACAGCTTTATTTTCTTACTTCCTTTTGCTGGTATATAGAAATGTAGGTATCTAGTCTTTTAAATATTGATTTTATTAGCCACTTTGCCAAACTTCTATTATGTATGCCAATTCTTTTGGATTTTCTGTGTATACATTCATATCACTTGTGAGCTGTAAGATGCCAAATTATAAACAGGACCTAAGGCCGTGCCAGGCAGGATTAAGTTACGCACTCCTACACTTAAAGAATAAACTATGTTCTAACTGCCACAAGATTTTTCTTTTTCTCGAGCAGCTAAACACACACTGGCCTTGAGTGTCTGAAGCAATTGCAGCTTCACCAAGTGTTGACTGGCTCCAGCCCATTTTCCACCAGCCATAACTACAGTTTTAACTGGACAAGAGGATTCTAGTAGCTTTCTCCTGATAAGAGACCAACCACTGTGGACTGGCTCTGGCCCATTTACAGAGATGGTGCATTGTGTGCCTTTGTGTCCCTGTTTCACCTTGTCATGTATAGGGCCTAACTGTAATGCATTTAAATGTTAAGTCCCCACCCCAAGGTGTAACACGCATGTTTGTTTAACATGCATGCATCAGGACTGCCTTCATGAATATTCATGATCCATCTGTAGCCTGTTGAATACGTATACTTGACCAACCCATTCAACTTAAATTCCTGTCTTACTCTTCCTTCCCTAGAAGTGCCTGCCTCTGGTCTTTGCTGGAGGATATGCTTTCTAACCTGCAGAATGACCACCTTGAAAGCTGTAACCCTTTGTAAGAAATAAAGTCTCCTTTCCAAATGCATGAAGACCCTGTGATTTTTTAGCCATAATAAGCAAAACACTACTGTGTGTTACTAGAGTTTGATCCCTCAGCAGTACTCCATCTGACAGTTAGGGAACTGAGATATTTGTACACCAACTACTACCAGTTATTGGTTAAGGGCTGCACTGGGGCTGTGTTATTTTCCCTGCTCTTCTAGAATGCCACGCACAGGTGAGTAAAGCTGGCTCTGGTGGCCAGAAGACCCTAAAAAGGGCAGGTGCTGACCTGACAATAGGAAGTCAGGTCAGCAAGCACTAAAGAGCAAAATGGTATGTGTAGGACATAGAAGATATCTGCTACAAGACCCTTTTGCAGGTAATGAATGGGGAA